AGCTAGACCAACCGATCAATTTCTAAAAGCGGAGACGTATTCGTTTCGGTAATGACATGATGGAGAAGTTCAGAGTGCGCGCTAAGAGCAAACCTACTCGGACACAAAGGCGGCGTGAAGTTCGACGGGAGAGACGGCCTTGATGCTCTGAGCCTTGTAGTGCGCAATAATCTTCTGCGACTTCTCCGCAATAACCTCAGGGGTGAAGCCGAACTTCTTGTACAAGGCGCCAGCGGGTGCACTGGCACCGAAGCGGTCGATGGAGTGTTGAACGTGAGAGTAAGCTTGCCATCCAACGCGGCTGTACACCTCGACGGAAAGGATGGGCTGGCCGCTGGGCAGAACGCTGAGGCGGTACTCGTAAGGCTGTTGCTCAAAGGTGTGCCAAGAGGGCAAAGACACGACACGAGCGTTGATGCCGTTCTCCTTGAGAGCGGATGCGGCGTCGACCGAGATAGCGACTTCACTTCCAGTGGCGACCAGGATGATGTCAGCCTTGCCACCGGGAGCCTCCTTGACAACGTAACCACCCTTGCTTGCCTTCTCGATGCTGGATCCTTCGAGCTGGGGCAAGTTCTGACGAGAGAGCGCAAGGACAGAAGGAGTGTTCCTGCTCTCGATGGCGACCTTGTAGGCGGCGCTAACCTCGTTTCCATCAGCAGGGCGCCAGAAGTTGAGGTTAGGGATAGCACGCAGTGCACCGGCAGTCTCGATAGGCTGGTGAGTCGGACCGTCCTCACCAAGACCAATAGAGTCGTGGGTGGCGACCCAGATGACCTGGTGCTTAGAGAGGGCAGACAATCGAACAGCACCGACAGCGTAAGAGACGAAGTTGAGGAAAGTTCCAGAGGTAGGAATGTGCAGGCCGTAGGCGTTGAGGCCGTTCATGATAGCGCCCATGGCGTGCTCACGGACACCGTAACGGATGTAGCGTCCAGAGTAGTCGCCAAGACGGGTCGATGGGTGCTGGAAGTCGACTGCGTCGCCCCAACGAGTCAAGTTTGAGCCAGTCAAATCGGCGGAGCCACCAAGCAATTCGGGCAGGGCCACAGCAAGCTTGGCGAGGACACCCTCTGAGAGCTTGCGCGAGGCGACAGCGGAGTCGGTGGGCTTGTATGTCGGCAGAGCGCTCTCCCATCCCTGAGGAAGCTTGCCTTCGATACGGCGCTGAAGCTCAGCGTGCTCGGCCGAGTGCTTCTTGCCGTAATCCGCGAAGACCTTGTTCCAGGCCTCGATCGCCTTGGTTCCGCGCTGCTGCACCTCGCCGTACGCCTTAACAACCTCGTCGGGAACGACAAAGTTTTGCTTGGGGTCAAAGCCGAACTTGGTCTTGACCTGTTCAATGTCATCGGCCTTCAGAGGAGCTCCGTGTGTGCCAGCGCCACCCTGGATCTTAGAGCCGAAACCGATGGTGGTCTTCAAACGAATGAGAGTGGGCTTGTCAGTGACCTTGTGGGCCTCCTCGATTGCCGCATACATGGCAGCAAGGTCCTTGTCACCATCGTTGACTGGGAACAGTTGTGGAATGCCGGGTCAGTATGGCCACACGAAGGGCTCACCGCCTCTCAGGAGTTTCCCACTTACCAGCTAGAACGTGCCAGTCGTAGGCCAAGAAGCGCTGCTCGACATCTTCGGTGAACGAGCAAGCAGTGTCACCATCGATGGAGATGTGGTTGTCATCGTAAACGCAGATCATGTTTCCAAGCTTCAAGTGGCCAGCGAGGGACGCGGCCTCGCTTGCGATACCCTCCATCAAGCAACCATCACCGAGGAAGGTGTAAGTCTTGTTGGTGAACAGCTCTGCGCCATCCTTGTTGAAAGTCGCTGCTGCGTTTGCTTGTGCAATGGCCAGACCCACAGCGTTCGAGAAACCTTGAGGATTGAAATCAAGCCGCCTATAAGCTTGAAATTCGCGCCAACCGCATGTGTCAGTGATCGCTGGGACTCACCTTGACCAAGAGGGCCGGTTGTGACCTCAATGCCGTCAACGCCGTGATTGGTCTCGGGGTGACCTGGGCACTTTGAGTCGAGTTGTCTGGATGCAAAGGCAAGAAGCTTGTGTCAGACTTGTGCCTGAAAAGGGCGTGACCGACTTTCTTGAAATACGCACCTGAAAGTCTTGAGGTCATCAAGAGAGATGTTGTAACCGAGAAGGTGCAGCATGATGTACTGAAGAGCGCATCCGTGACCATTGCTCAGAACAAATCTGCATCGTTGATTAGGCTCACGTAAGCAATTTGAGTTCTTTCGCATCACAAAGGTAGCGATGCTTCGCCTTCAAATGCTCACCTGTCGCGGTTGATCTACAAGTGAGAAGGCAAGGGGCGAAGTGAGCATCGGACTGCTGACATTCACACAAAGCCTCGATAACTCACCCACTTGGGGTCCTTGCCGCTTGCTGTGAAGAAGCTGCGTGACGCAAGCGCATGCACAGGGAAGGAAGTCAGCTACAAAACAGCCTTCCGGGTTTTTTTAGGCCAGCGAGTCGAGTGTGCGAACGGCTCCGCCCAGTCGATCCGGCTACTCTGCCTGAGCTTGCGGGGACTCCGCCACAACTACACTTACCGAGAGAAGAGCAAGTGGGCAATTGGAGCCTAAAGAGCGCAAGAAGCTGCGTCAGCTAGCCTATCTGGGAGATCTTCTGAGCGAGCTCATGCCAACTCACCATACCCATGGGCATACCAGGGTGACCAGAGTTGGACTTGAACACGATGTCCGCAGCGAGAGTGCCTGTCATAGCGCAGAATTGGCGGTGCGGCACATGTGAGCTGAGCAACCTGGCTGAGGATTGGCAGCGAGGAACATCGATGAAGATAAGCGATACGCACGGATCGTGGCAATAGCCTTCTCATCAGTGGGCAGAGGAGTGAAAGTCATCTTGGGCAACGTTTTCAAGTGTGAGAGTGTGACGGATCAGAAGGAAGGTGTGATCTCTCTTTGATCCGAATGATGGTGGAGAACAAGCCGCAGAGCGCATTCAAGACTAGTTTTGGGCAAGCTCGTCACGAACACGGGTCGATCGAAGCGAATCGTCTTCGCTCGTCTGTCAAAGCAGCAGCAGCAGGCAGCGAGCAAAGCCTTCGTGCACGGTGTCCACTCAGACTGGGCGGAAGGTGCATCTATGCTTGGTTGATACGTTGCCGGGGGCTGACTGGCGCCGCATGGCTTCCCTCAACAGCGGCAGCAGCAGAGCCCATGCACACCTATACCGAGCGTGCTGCAGGGTA